AGTCATATAAGGCAGCAGCATTTCATAAGCCACATACCAAAGCCCTACCATGAACCCATGCCAATTTCAAGGGCTCTTTTGAGAGGGGATTACTAATGCAGTCTTGGAAAGATGGGTCTCACTGATACAGGTGGAGTCCCCAAACATATGTCTGTAGAAAAAACATACAGAATTTGTTTGGATTACAACATCAGTAGCTAAGATCCTTTCAAAATAAAGCTGTTTTAAGGTATGATTTCGCTGGCCAGTTAGCATTCACAGTCTGTTGATAAATTATTAATTAGCCGTTATAGCCATTTTCAGGATTCTTTCTCCATCTTGGTTCTAAAGGCTATTGGAGCTCAAAACAGAATTGCTTTGTCTTCCTCTGTGCATGTATTTTGTCTGCGCTAAAGTAATGATTACATTTAGCTATGTAATTATACATTTATACTGTATTTTTGCAGGCCAAGTGTTTGGAAAATGAGAATCATGGTGTTCTCAACAAAATAGTAGAAGGCAGTCTACGCTTAGGAAGGTTAGAAGAAAAAGTTAAGGTAAGCAATATTTCTAAATATTATATAAAACACTTATGTTTGAATTAGAAAAATAAAAACAATGACAGATTATTGATGAAAGACTTCTATGGATTATTTTATAATGAATTAAAAATAAATGAATCACCATTATAGTTATCACAAATATCCTTTTCCATTGTATTTGTACACTACATATCTGTCAGGTCATTGCATTAGCCTCATTACTTGAAAAGTTATGCCAGATTACAAAATAATTGAAGATGATATTTGTATTCTACCTCTGTTCTGTAGTGTAATCCAACTATTCTCTCTCCTACTTTTTTTAGTTTGTATTAATGCTTCAACTGAAAGTCCATTAAGATTAGATTTGGAAGAGCTGCCAAACATATCCTCAGTATAGTTGTTATAAGTATTTCTATGTGGCCATAGGGTATGAGTTTCAGAAACTTAGACTGTATTTAATCATCTAACCTAATTAGAGAATATATTATAACTTATCTTCAGATATATCTAAATAAATACAAAGTGCAAAGTGTGTGTAATTGCAATGTAATAGTGTATAGAGTGAATTATATTTAAAACTTTACTTTTCTAACATCTTTGTGTTACAGTAATTCAGTGTAAATACTTTGACAGCCTCAGGGTTTGAGCTATGATTCACAATTTTCTGAGCTGACTTCTTCACAAATAATTGGTTGCAATAGAACTAAATCATGATATATCATCAAATGTATTTCTCAGGAGAATGAATAAATTGTAAAAATCGGACCACAAAATACAATGGTTAGTTTGAAGTGCACATTCTTTCACTTAATTAGGTTCTTAACTAGTAGATACCATTTTCCTTAAACCGTTGGAAACCGAGGTTCACATCTGCTGTGACAGAAAGCCACATAACCTCTTTATTTATATCTGTGAACAAATCAGCAGTAGAGCAAAATTAGTTTAGACTTTTTCCTCCCCTCTAGGTTTGCTGTCTCAGTATATAGATCTATCTAACAGAAGCAAGCCTACTGTTATCTTTGAGGAACACAAAAATAACTGCAATGAAGCAGCAAGATAGTATTTAGCATGGCCTACTTTCATCTACTACTTTCCCATACTAGCACATATTTTGAGCCCTGGACTGGTTGTGTATCAGACTGCATTGACCATTTTTGTATGAGGTACATATAGTGTCTTATAGTCTTACTTGCATACAGAAAGTTTCAGGATATGCATTTCACTACAATGAAAAATTAATAATTCTGAGAGACTGTGCTGCTAACGTTTTGGGAGATGTTCACCAATGTTTTTATTTTAATAACTGTTGAATTTTGTGGTGTAATACTTGATTACATACTTTCATTCACAGTCAGCAATCAATGAAGTGGCAAAATTATAATGAAGCTAGGATTTAGGAAGGGTTAGAATAGAAGTCTGCCAGGCTTCTTTATCCTGCATAATTTAGTCTCTGTAACTTATGTATATTGAATATGATATATCATCTAGAGCAAGAGGTGTAATACTTCAAAGAAGTCTCATTTCTTCTTTCAGAGAGAAACAGGTTCTACAAAGAATTAGATCTGGATATAGAAATAAGTATTTCTCTATTTTAACCTGTACAGATGCCCCTTGTATGTCCAGAGCGAGTTCTCGGGAATGCCATGAAAGGACATATATCCTCTATACAACACACAACTGATTTTTGCAGTGATTTCTTGATAATGTATGCAGGAACTATGTCTGGTTGTTGCCCAATGCTGTTTAGCGTCTGACAAGCGATTGCTAAATAGGCAGTATGTTTTCTTGAGCTACACTGTTTGTATACCATCAGTTCTCTGATCTAATTCACAGCATAGCTTTACAAAAAGTTATGTTAGTTGAAAGAGAAATACTTCAAAAGAAACAAACTCCTTTTTCTTTCACTGAGTTTGTTTTTTATTGAGATTGGTTCCTTCATTCAGCTCACAGTATAGCCCTGTAATACTGTGTCAATATAACCAGGAATGCGGTAGCTGCAACATGGAGACATGCGTGAAGCCAGTTTTATTGCCACAGATTGCTCAGCCAAATCACAGCCTAAAGCTGAACAAATTACAAATGCCCCAGCACCTAGATGACTTGATGTGTATGAATGAGCTTTTGAACCGCAATGAGTTTCTGCTGAGTCGCACGTATAGCAATGCTGACTGGTGTTTGCTTTGTAGAGTTCTGTCCTTTGTTGGAGAAAACAGTCGGAGCCACATCCGTGGCACAAAGGTAAAGTAGCTTTAGAAGACTGAACTGCAAGTAATTTAGCATACAGAGCCAGTGACAGTTATTAATACATGATTAGATTGCTTGTACCATGCAATTCAAAGGAGGAAGGAAAGTACCTGGTAACTGGTTTCTATATATAGAAAGCAATACAAAAATATTATTTTCAACATATGTTTTGTTCTCAGTCAAGTTTTTGCAATCAGTTTATCCGCATATTGCACTGTTCCCATTGAGACCTACACACCTGTTCCCACAGCAAATGACACAGATGTGCACCATTGTGATAAGATACCAGCTCCCTCTGTCCCTTCTGTGAGCAGATCAGCACAGCACTGGAATTAGGAACAAATTAAATAAACCAAGTTGTAGAAGCAAGGAGGAGTAAGCTGAAAGATGTTCAGCATTTGTAAGGAGCCATTCAAAAAATACCCAGTGCATGAAACACTACCATAAAAGTCCTAGCATTTCTCAAGTTATACCAATAAAGTTATAAAAATTGTTATAGCTATTTTTCACCCTCCTTCATATCTATCTACATTTAAAAAAAACAGAACCTTTGGCAAGATAGTGGTTTGTAGTCGTCTTAAATATTTAAAATCTTTTCTGCAATATAATACGTCTGTGACTACTATCAGTGATGGAGAAGGTAAGAATAAAACACACAAAATGAAGAAGCACATGTAGCACATACTGTGAATTAAGATACATACCCTCTTATTTCTAAAGGAATGCAGAACCAAATCACAAAACTCCATCAAAAAAAAATCGAAACCTTTAACTGTTACTGGAAGTTAGAAACACAGAATGGAAATAGTTCTTACTTTTGCTGGATAGAAATAGTGAAATTTAAAACTAATCTACCTGCAAAACCTTGTTGTTCTTAATTTTTGTAAGTGTAGGGTTTAAACAGTCAAAAAAAAGACCTTATAAAAGAGCTTAAACTCTTATCTACTCTTGACTAGGGTATTATTTGAACTTTGCTAGAAGTTAGTATTATTTGTGTGTTTGCTAAAAGCACCTGTAATTTCTTTTTAAACCTCCTGATCTCCAGCCATGTAATCTGCTTTCTGAAGCAGAAGCTTTATTAACTGCTTGGTCATAAATACCTAATTGTTGAAAAAGTAAGCTCTTTGGTGGTTTCTGGAGAGTTTGGGGGATACTTTTGTTTTACATATAAAATAGAAAATTAAGGTTTTTTTAAAGTCTGCATGTGAACAGTATCAAGTTTTTAGTTGGGTTCTTTTTTAGTCAAAAGATTTTTTTAAACCCATTATATGTAACGCAGTTCCTCATATAGGATAGGCCATATTGCACACAACTTTTTTTTTTTCAAATCAAAAACACATGAAAAATCAGGTGCATATGGAAAGGAAAAATAGTTCTTCCTTTTGAAGATGAATGTATTGCTTCCACAGTTCATGCACAGTTCTAGCGCCCATGAAACTTGAACAGCAATTTCCTAAGGATTACACACTCCTTTCTTATTTAAATGAAATAAGAGATTGGAAATCTCATTAGCCTGATTAGCCCGATTACATCAGCCAGAAGAATACTACTAGCAGCCGCTTACAGGAAAAGCGCAACTTGGGTCACTGGCCTGTATGTTGCGTTATGGAATAACCATAATAAGCTATTAAGGTGTAGGGTAAGGAGATACAGTGTTAAGGCATAATCTGTTTCAATTCAATATAGTATTTAAAATGCACTCATTTTTCTGAAACAGTCACATAAGAATTAGTCTAGCACTCAAAGGTTATCTTAGCAAAGGATGTTTTACATTGACTTATAGCCATCTTCAGACATTTTAGTGAGAGATGCAAGATAAGAAATACAAGTTATATCATATGAAGTCCTCAAATTATGGTGAGAGAAAAGCTTTTGGGGGTAGAGATTTGAGTTACAAGTCATAAAAAGTGAGTTTTTTTTTTTTATCCTACTTTTTAATAACTGAGTAACTTAAGTTTACCTTTGGGTGAACCCATTGTCCCTTACCGCAGCAGGCGCAAGCCAGTCCCCAAATCATGTTGCTGAGCAGATGCGTTGTGGAGATTGCTGTGCCCACGGATTCTCTGGGGCTTCTTTCACATCACCGCAAATGGTATTGGGGGCGGGGGGACAGGGGGGAAGGTAGGTAGGGCCTCTGTTCTTCACTGGAAGCGTATGGCACATACCCTGTGGACAAGGGTTGTTCAAAAAGCTGGCAGTTCTGTTTTCTTTACATCACTTGCCTCTCAAGTCAGTTTGTCCTGGCTCGGCACAGGAAAGGGGATCGGGTCGCCTTGTTCCGAGTTCTGCCTTCTTGTAAATTCTTTCAGAGAGAGCAACTGAACAAAAATCCTGCATTTTTTATTTGAGGCTCCTTAATGAAAAACAGATCAAGATCAGACAGATCTGTTGTTAACAGATATCATTTCACAGAATCACTATGAAAGCTTTTACAGTTAAATAATAGGTTATTGCTAAAATAAAAAACAAAAACATGTAGTTTTTTTACACAGCTTTACTATATTTCTTTAAAAACTGCATCTGCTTAAAGTTAGGTAGCAAATTAAAAGTCGTTCTCTTTACCAATACCATTTTTAATTTGAGATTTAGTAGTTATTCTAAACAAACCTTACATATAAAAATGATTCACTGTGTAAAATGTTTTGTAGTTCTAGTTGATCAGTACAACCATATACAATTTTTAAAAAATAAGAGTGGATCAGTATCAAATAGGTTGAATAAACATATTCAGAAAAATAAATCATTTTTTGCTGAGGAACTTTGTTAATTTTAATTTTGAAAACAAATTTTTACAAGTTTTATGTGTTAAAATTTTACAGGCATATTGGACTTATTAAAAATACTAAAACTTACTTGAAAAATCTATTTAATTGGCCCTTGAAGGTTTAACTACAAGTTTCTTTTTCGTAATTGTTATAACTCTTCTGAAAAAAAATCTCCTGTCTGATGTAGAGCAAAATACTTAACTCAACTTTATTTCCCTATGACATCAGAAAAGAATTGACTCAAATCTAAAGGTTTTTTGTTGATATTTTTTCTTCTCAACTCAATCCTCATATGTAACAATGGGACTCATTTTCCCAACTGGTTATACAGAGAGTATTTCTGTTTCGTTTTTTAAACGATACATAACCTTCCAAAAACATTCAGTTCACAATCAATGAGATGGTGAGCTGAGACTGATTGTTACTTGATGAACAGGTGTTATAACCACCATCTTTTTAGTGAAAGAAAAAATTCAAGAGCATGTTGTCAGTTCCGTAGTGTTTACATAAATTATTGTGCTTTACCAAAAATACCTTTTTGCTACAAGAGAGCTAAGAAGGATGACCAGGAAGGATTTTTGAAGTCACACTGTGAAGACTTCTAACAGTCCATAAAGGTTAAAGTCTGTGATTAAGTTGTTTTAAGGTTCAGTTAAAAAAAAATCTTACCAATGGATAAAACAATGCTTATCAGCTTCTTGAAGAGCAGTCACAGATTCCCTGACAGAGGCATTGACAGAAGCCATACACAAGACATACAGTTAGACTTAATGGAACAAAGCTCACAAACACAATACCTACGGTCACTTCTTGTACCACTAGTAAAAAAATTCCAAGAGGCAGTGAACCAAAGTAAAAAAATCCAAGCAGCCATGCTAATGTTCTGGGTACATGTTTGCATAGCTTTGAAAAGAAATCTTGCGCTAGTTGACTTTGAGAACTTACAGATACTGACTCAATGCTACGGTCTGCATTGTAATCTGAGACAGTACTTTGACTAGGAGTCCTTGTGGAGTCTCTTTGTACTTCCGTAATTGTAATTACTAAACAGTTTGATGATCCATGGGAAAGACTTGAAGCAGGCAAGTTTTTTGGTGTTAAAACTAATTCTTTACTGTCAGAATTCCACAATGTTTTATCTTCTAATGAGAGCTTGGACATAATGTTTGCATCATTAGGGAGTCCTTCAATTTTGTCTTCATGCAGCTCTGTGTCATGGCGGCAAAAGGGACAGCTAATGCAGGGAGATCCATCTCCTACGTGAAGTATTTTAGTCAAACATCTGGCACAAATTCTGTGAAGACAATCCAAGATTTTGGGTTTACGGCTGTGAATGTTAAATCTGTGATAGCATATTTTGCATTCCAGTTCATCACTAGGTACTTTTTCCTCTCCTTCAGTGTGAGAGTAACTCATCTTTAAGTTAGGCACACTGTCAAAAAGAAGAAGTCAAATTACAACAAGTTGTTTCATGGGCTCTGAATCTCCACTTGATGTTATTTTTAATCAATAAAAAAGTCTTTCTTTATCAAAATAAGCAACCTTTATCCTCAAGATACCTATCATCTCCCATTGTATTGCCCTTCATTTTCACGTAGCTTTACCAAACAATTAGGCTGGCCTTAAATTTTTTTCTGCCAGCCTGCTATGGACTGCATTTAAAACATAGAAAGTTGTTATTGGCACAGAGAGATCATGCAGGAATTGTGCGCTTCAGAAATGCCCATAACCATTGCATAGGTCACTCTCTGTATTCCTGTAAAGCAGCTGCGCAGACCTGAAGAAATGAAACAAGGGTGTTCCTTCACCCTGTTCCTATCACCATTGCTTTGGAGCTAGGGAAAGGTGCTTTGGGTCTAACATCAGGAGATCATAGATTTAAGTGCCACTGCACACATGGCAGTTCTGCCCACAGAGTAGTCCTGCTTCATTAGAATTGCATTTTTTCCATTTTAGGGTGTTTGAAGATTCAAGGGGAAGTGTAGTTTTCTGGGGCCTTGTCAGTCCTAAGGATGGTCCTTAACTACACATGATTTGCTCCTTATTTTCAGATCAAATGAAAGTGAATAAACCTCAAGGAAGAAATGTTAGGTGCATCTGAGTCTTCCTTGGTGTTCCCTCATCAACTATGTACAGATGGAGAGAAGTCTGAACACCTCCAAGATGCTTAGCTGGCTTGCTTTCATTATTCTAAGCATATGCCTGGCCCATTGAGATGTTTTCATTTTCAGTACAATTACTTAGTTTTCTTTGACTCTATAAATTTATCTATATTTATGAAAAGAGGGAAAATGTTGCTTTTTATGTCTATAGACATCATTTTTGAAAAGCAGCTTAATTATTATACCTGCTGTATGTATGTTTTAATAAGGTTAATGTATAAAGCATTTGAATTGATTATCTTTTTTACCCTATTTTGGAAGCATCTAATGATAGTCCTCTTGGCAGGGGAGGGAAGACCGTGTTTACTAATTTACGTTCTGTCCCTACAGAAGACGGATAAGGGAACTCAAGGGAACTACTATAAATCCCAAGTTACGGTATTGCAGCTGATAAGTTGATAGGCTGTCAGCAATAACTATACAAGTTCTTAACACATGAAACTCTATGACTGAAGTGATGCACTTAGGTCTACTTTTCCATCCCCAAATTAACTATCAAGACAGAATTGGCAAATTACTATGCGTAGAGCAGCTCTTAAGTACTAGAAAAACATTTTTTCCAGCTGAAGTACATCTTGTCTCCTTTCTTCCAGTGTTTTCCATATGAAAAGGTCAGCATGGCACGCACTTTTTTTTTTTTTTTTTTAAACATTCTGCCTTTACAAAATACCCTTATGTAAATGTGTTTTCTGTGCCCTATTCATTTCATCGTCCATCTAGTCATAGTACGCTCTTGCAGACTGAGGCTGGTTATAAGCGATCATTCAACACCAGTGAAGAAAAGAATCCACTTTCCTGGAATTTCTCTGTAACCATTTGCTGACCATGCCTGTTCTTAGTCTTTGGTAAAATAGAAGACCTAGTGAAGCAATTGAAGCATTGCCACTAGCTCCAGTAGGTCCAGCATCTCTTTCATTAACCTATGGGAGAACTTGAGGTGAGGGGGTTCTGAGAACATGCATGATTTTTTTGTTTGCATACCTGACTACTATATAAGAGCATATAATTTATATTTAAACCTTTTAAATTTAAATATCTATGTCTCTTTTAAAGGGCTTATAATCACAAGCTAGAAAAAGAATCTCTCTGAAACAGAACATGAGAATAATAGATTAACCCCCTATCCCCAATTCTTATACACAAAATTGCCAGGGGAACAGGAGTTAAAAAAGAAATGCCATTTTGCACCCAGGGCCCAGCTAGTACAGCATATGATACCGCAACTGACCGTTTTCCCATCGTTCCAGGATATGTTCAACTATTTATCTTTCAGACTTCATGATGTAAGCTGAAGTATACAAAGAATCTCTAAATGAGTCTTGTAAGTATAGGTGACAATATTTTGTATACTAGATAGGTTGTTCCCCACAGTTAACAGCATTTGCATAGAAAACAGGAATTACAACCAGAAAGAAAATACATTCACCTTACTGATAAGAAAACATCAGTAAAAATAAGTATTCTATCCCTCTTTCTTATAACCAGGATTGTCTACATGCATTTTAGAGAGACATACAAGTATATGTGCCTGATTTTACTCTGGCTTTTGTCTGAAAATCCATATGCAATATGGGATCTCCCTTTAATTTATAAAAGAATAAAAATGTCCAAAGTTATGATAGTGTGAGGGAGGGTTTAATACAACGTGCAAGTTAGCAAGCTGAGCTGACAGCACACACATTGTCCAGTGAAGCTATTATAAACAAGATAGATAGAAAAAAATTTCAGTGACATACATTTGCAATTACATATCACAGTAGTACTATTAATATTTAAATACTCGTTTAATCTATGTTTTATAATTAACTATGCAAACATTTTTCAGAATATTTTAATTCATATTATTCAGTCATGTAAATTATGTAGTTTTACTAGTCTTCACTATTATTAGAGGGATTTAGAGCAGGGCTATAACGTGTATGAGACAGCAAGGAAAATGCTATCAGAGGGCAGACTGGCACACAATATGCGTTTATATTTCAGTCTTACATTTTGTCAGTATCATTTTTTGCACTGATGGCGTGAAGATATTTCTTATGTACTACCTTTGTGGATTTTAACACAAAGCATACCTGAAGGGTTGCCTTGTTTTATTTTTCCAGTCAGCATTTTATATAGTAAAAGAAAGAGGAAGTCCTGTAGTTCTGTGAAACAATTACAGGCTAGCTCTAAGTGACTTTCTGCTCTGGAGGAACATCCTTACTTTTACCCATAGCATTACAAGTATGTAAGTATCTAACTTCGGGTTTTGAAGACTTCTCTGGGAGCCTAAAAGTTAAGTGATGCAATTGGTTGTCTTGTAGGCTTCTAATTCTTTCCAATTCTAATGCTTCAACAATCTGTCTATAGCCTACATCAGTCATCATATTCTGCAGATATGAGAACAGTTTGAACATTGTTTTTAATCATGAGAGGAAAAAAGCCGATACTGGATACTGTCTATTCTTTTTCTGAAGAGAAGAATATAGAAATATGCAATATGCTAACAAGCCATATTTTTCAGTTACTCATGTTCTTATGTAATTTAATTGAAAAGTTAGTTCAGAGAGCAAAATTACTTTGTACAAAAACTATTTTTCCTCACTGTTAAGAGGAGACCAGTATGCTTGGTTATTACGCCAATAAGCAAAAATCACTTGTGCATCGCTGAAGGAACAATTACGTGAAGCAGCAAAATACTTGAAAACGTGAAGCCAGTCTCTTCGTAGTGCTAACATTAGAGAACTAACAGAACACAAATGATATTAACTACTTCTTCATGGCATACATTGATAAATATAACTGTTGGACAAGTGGTAAGCAACATGTACTGTAAAGTGCAGCTCTGCATTTTGGAAAATAAAACCATTTTTTGCAGCTAATTCTTTTCACTCACCAGACAAACATACTGTCTGGTATTCATTGTACACCTTATTTATGCAGAACAAAGTACAAGCATAATACATTCAAATTAACAAAGAAGTTAAAAAAGACTGTCTCAGTGCAACCTACCTGACACATTTAAGCAAGGAATCACTGATGAGAAGATTTATCTACAAATGAGCAACTTCAGCTACTTATTCTGTTTGTGGTAATTGTCCTTATTTTTGCCATAATCATACTTTTCCTATGATCTTTAACTCTTACAGGGATATAAAAAGAAAGCAGCTGGAAAGCTTGGAGATATCAGTCTGAAAATGAGTGAGCAGAAGAAAGAGTTTGCTGGGAAGACTGCTCAGTACCAGCAAGAAATGAAGCATCTCCAGCGTCTGCTGCAAGACAAACAGGAAACCCTTGAGGAAGTGCTGCAGGAGAAAAGGTAAGGCAGGCACAGGTGGAAACAAGCCAGTTACATTTGATGGGTGAAAGGGGTGGGGGGAGGCAACTGCACACAGCTGCAGGCTCTTATTTTTCATCAGAGCTCCATGTGGTATATCCTAGATATCTTTTCTCACTCATGTTTTAACTATACTGAAAACACTGAAACCCTCCTCTTAATTCTAGCCTTCCCACCTCCAAAAACTGATCTTGCAAAGGACAGATTTATTCTGGGTGACTACTGCTGTTCTTAAGACTGTAAATTTTTTTCTTTTCTTAAATATCAGGAGAGATGCAATCCACATTCGAAAAATAATAACCTGAGCCTAGTCTCTGATAATCTCGAGGTCTACAAATAATCAAGATACATTAATTATTTAATAGCATCTTCTACTAAAGGCTGAAGAGTTCCCCTTCCTCCCCTTCTCCCCAGACAGTTTTCAAACTAGTAGGAATTAAAGGAATCTAATGTGTACGCATATGATGGGTTTCCTTTTGAGGGTACCTTACTGTTCTGTTAAGAAATGACATAGATTGGCTACATACAGAATAAAAAAATAAAAAGATGATTTAACAGATTTTTACAAGATTATGACTGTCAGTGTTGAAATCTCTTTTTAATATAAAGCATCCTTTAAAGACATTTTTCTCTCTTATGGTGGAAGACTTCATAGCACATACCTTTTATCAGCATACAGAAAAACTGCTTACAACTGGAAATAGCTAATTAAGCTGTCATTTTACAAGTCACCTATGCCATTGTGAGATAGTAGATTTAAAAACAATAAAAAAACAGGACTTAGTATCATACACTATCACATCAGAACAGTTCCTCTTTTAATTACTTTATACAGTGCCATTAAACAGGTGTGAGTAGCTGGGAATTGTATAATGAACATTTAATTAATATCTAAAATTTGGGTGAGAAAAATGGTATTTTGACTACTCCAGATTTCTCCAGAAATAATTACATAGGATTTTTAACTATTTAAGAAGTGCCTTTCATACCTCTGCTAATGTTACTGTTTTTTTTTTTTTTTATTTTTAATAAAAAGACCAGCTAGGTAAGTAACGAGGTTTTATGTAGAATAGCGCATGGTTCAAAATGCCACAGCGCATAGTTCAAAATGTCACAGTATGGATCATTCAGATTTTACCTTAATAGCCCAAAGGTAGGTAAATGAGATTGTGTAATACAGCCTCATCAAATAATTAATTGCACTTTCTATAGACCGGTTTCACTAATTCACTTTTTCCTCCTTAGTCTGGATTGACTCATTTTTCTTTAATAAGCATAGAAAATTTATAAGTTCAGCTACCTCTTAAGAACAACGTCTGCACTTGAGTCTACAATCTGAGCCTTTTATTTAGCAGTATGATAATGAAGAAAAGCGGCTCGTGGAAACAATCACAAGATGAACATCACACAGACATGTCTTAAATTGGTGCCGTCTCCTACATTATAAAAGGTGTAATTACTGACTCACTTTTTCTGGTGGCAGTGAAGCCTTGATAACATTTATTAGAGCACAATATAATGAACACAACCCAGAAAGAAAGAAAATGATTTTAATATTAATCTCTCAAGTCTTATTTTACTTCATCTCATCATCCTGTATTTTCCTTTGATGACTATATTAAAAAAACCTAGATTGAAAAAACAGAAACGTCAGTGACGAGACAGCTGAATTTTAGAGCTTCATAAATTGGGATATCTTTTTATTCTTAAAGTATTGCTTGTTTTGGTTTAATACAGCAGATACTGTTAATATAAACTAGTTCCCTCATGTTCCTTTATTCATGTCAAGTATCGTAGAAATACAAAGCTGTTTCCCGATAATATATTTATTGGTAGTCCAA